GGCTGTGAGCGCACATTGCCGGCTCATGTCCTTCCCTTCTCTCCCAAACACTCCCCCAGCATGAACTGTACTACTTGGTCTCAGAATATCAGCAACTAGAGTGGGAACAGGGAAAGCCAGGGTTGGAGCAGACCTGTGTGTTCAGTAAGGGTTCTTACTTTCTGCACCCAGTCACATCAACCCACTCGTTTTGCAATCAGATCTTGCTTACACAGAGTCTAGAGGAAATAAATAGAAATGCTCCACTGGAAAAAGCTGTTCTCCCAATACACGAGCTATGCCAGCTGCAAGCGAGATCATGCCATATCTCGAAGGGTGCTGCCAGTAACCTGGCTCAGAGAGCTCCAGGATACTCATTGATTTACCCCAAAGGCAGACAAATCTTGGGATTTGGCACAGTATGAGGAAGCTCTCATGTTTCTGTGGGATACTGAACAGGACCATTGCTCTGCTAGCCAGGAAAGAGCCATCAGATGAGACTCTCAGTACCTGGTGCCCCTCTGCTTTCAGGATTGCAGGAGGAAGGAATTCCACACCGGTAAACTGCTACTGGGGCTGAAAGAATGGGCAATACAGTAGTAAATGCAGGCAGAATAAAATAAAAACAGAGCAGCCTATGTTGGCAGCGCACGAGGGGAGATGTCTGCATTGCTACTAGTGGCCACGCTAGAGGCTACACTTGCCTTACATGCCTGGATGAGTCCACTTCTGAGAAAGGATGGGCCTCCAAAGGAGGGCTCTTTTGCCTGCTTCAGTTAAATAATCATGATGCCAAACAAACAGAAAATGCATAATCAAATCTTAATAGAAAAATGGGTTGTGTTATTATAGAAGGAGCTTCTGAGGGAACTGAGGGTGTTCAGTCTGGAGGAGGCTGAGGGGAGACCTCATCGCTCTCTACAACTACCTGAAAGGGGGTTGTGGTGAGGTGGGTGTTGGTCTCTTCTCCCAAGTAACCAGCGATAGGACGAGAGGAAATGGCCTCAAGTTGCGCCAGGGGAGGTTTAGATTGGATATTAGGAAAAAATTATTTACGGAGAGAGTGGTCAAACATCGGAACAGGCTGCCCAGGGAGGTGGTGGAGTCACCATCCCTGGAGGTGTTAAAAAACCCCATGTAGATGTGGCATTTCTGGACATGGTTTAGTGGGCATGGTGGTGGTGGGTTAACGGTTGGACTTGATGATCTTAGAGGTCTTTTCCAACCTTAATGATTCTGTGATTCTGTGATAAATAAATATTATTTATTGGATGATGGAGGCTCCTGCCATCCAGAGATGAGGTACCAAGAAGGCAGGGGGAAGAAAGTTAAAGAAGCTCCTGATATTTGGGACAGCTGAACTATTGGAAAAGCAACTACAGCCAGCTGGGCTTTGAACATAGATTCAACATCTAATTTCTACTCCTGCTGTTTTTCTCAGGCAGCCCCACAGCATGCTCTTCTCCCAAAAGACAGAGATGTTTAAAAATTAATAATAAAAAATAAATAATAAAAATAAAAAAGAGAGTGTAAAAGTATATTAGGAAGCTAAAAATTGAATATGTGGATGAACTTTTAATTAATGAGCTTGGAATGGGGGGGATAGTTTGGTAAGTTTTAAAAAAATCAAAAATATCAAAAGGTGTATCACGAGATGGTTTCCTACCTTTCGAAAACCTGATGTCTTGTTTATCCCAGAGCCATGAATGAGCAGGGGATGGAAGAACACTGTGTCTCCCTTCTCCATGACAAGGTGAACCCTGGGACTCTTCTCATCCTCATCAAGCAGCCCATGGAAAAGTTTGTTGGCTTTATGCTAGAAAAAAATGCTGGGTTGAAATCACTCGGTTAAAATTAGAGCAAGTGCCGACTCTCAGTGCGAGGGACAGCGGGGACAGCTACTGCTCTGGCTTTCTCTGGGCAGTGTATTCGGTATGCCTGACCAAGAACCTGCTCACTTGCCTACAAGTCTTCCTATTTCAAGCCTGTTGTACAGCAAAATAATGCTTTTTTCTATTTTCTGAAGCTGGATTCAGACAATTAAGAGCCTTTCTGGACCGGAGAGAACAGAGGGAGGCACCGGGGAATCCCACAAGTGTGGCCTGACGCCACTGCTGGGGTCCAGCCTTCTGCTCCCAGTATAACCATCACCAACGCCAGCCCAGGTCAGGAAACATCCGTTCTTAAGAGGAAGATACTGATTGATATTTAATTGCATCCAGTTGTTTACTATCTAATTTCTCCTCTTTGGGCAGTACACATGCTCACCAGGCAGGAACAAATTCAGAGGAGGAGAAAGAGTCCTCAGACTCAGCAAGGGCAGTGGAAAACAGTTGCGTGTGTTTATGCCGTTATGCCACAACGTACCGGACAGTTTCTGGGTGAAGGTGGGAACAGCGGCAAATCTACGCAGGTTACGTGGAGTGAAGCCAACTAAGCAACTCGCTCCCGAAGTAACAAGTCAGTGTTTGCATAAACAGAAAAACCATCACCGAAAACCTCAGCTCTGACCTGCGCGTCATCCCTCCATGGTGAGCTCTCCCCAGCCAAAATGTCGTCCCCACACACACACCCGTGCTGCTCTACCTCCCGCTGTGGATAGCCGTGAGGCTTCAGGGGCTCCTTGTGTGTCCCTGGCTGCACGACCAGGCACCCGTTGTCCTGGTCGGCCCTCTCCATGGCGGTCCAGGAGCACACGATGCGGGCCGCAGGCCGGAAGGGGAAATAGTGCAAGTCCTGATGCATGGGGTGGAGAAAAGTCTGTTTATCTGCAACACAAGTTCAAAACTTTCAACCTCATCAACCATGACACAGCCTTTTCCTTCCCATTTAACCACTGCACTTGTTGTAAGTCCTAAGAAGCTGCTGTTTGCGACTGAAGAGACTTCGTGTACCCAGTGTCTGCTCCAGCTCACCACTGACTTGGAAACCAAATGGGTTAGCTTACAGCCCATCCCAAGATGGACCAAGAGCACAGTGGTGGCTCTTGGGTCAGCAACAGCACAGGGTCATAGTGAATGCCAGGAGGCTGCCTGGCTGTGTGATCCCTCTGAAGACTCCTCTGGCTGGCCTTCGCCACCAACAACCCCCTACCAAGTTTTCACCATTCACTTTGGCTGCTCTCCAGTTTTTCCAGTTCTGTGAACTTTAACCAGCACGGTGTTGCACAAACCTCTCCTACTACAAGGACTTTCAAACAGCTGTGCTGTCTGTAGTCACTTGATCTATTGCTGTGTTGCAAGCAGAATCAACCCTGTCTGTGCTGCACCCAACACGTGTTTATTTAGCCTTCTCTTAAAAAAAAAAAATCTCAATTTATGGACTGCAGCCTCCCCAGACAGTCTACCCAGCACTCCATTAGCCTTTGCCCTAGAGGCTTTTTTCCAAGAAGTCTAAACGAAAATAAATATTTCTGAAGTTTTGTTTGTTACTTCTTTTCCCCCTTTGGAAATGGAAACATATCATCCACACCAAGACATCCTTTTATGTATTATTTATATATTTATTTTGCCATTGAGTTTGCTCTTTGTTTCCACTTGCCTCATTTGCCATATTATTTAGGCTTTGGGCAGCCTCAAAAACTCTCCTGAGATCTGCACCTCTCCTAAAGTACTCCTCAAAGATATTGAAGCAGTTTCCCATTTTTTGTCCATTATTGTTTTGTTTTTACTTTAAAAATGTATGGTCTCCTCTTGAATTTCCAAACCAAAATGACACAGCTTTCTATGGAGTATTTAAGATGACAAGTGGAGATGACTTGAACAGGGTCAGTATTTTAATAACTCAATGTACTATGTACCTACTCAGAAGCTACACACCTGAGAGTAAGAAACAGAGCTCACGTCTCAACTTCGCTAAATTGAAACAGCTTATGCAGAGTCAAAGCTACTTTGAAAAACTGCAATACAGTTAGTATGGTTCTCTTCCTCTCCCCCTGCCCACCACCCTTCTATAAATTGTAATCTCAGTTTCCAGCAGCAGGAGCCAAAGCCAGGCTTTGAAATCCTTCTTTTGGCACCTATTCAAGTATCTTCATGTCAAAGGGCTGAGCGTGCAACAACTGTCAGTGAGGTCAGGAGCATATAAAGTCCAAGCAAAGGATGATCTCTGTATTTAAGCCTTTTACCGAGGTCCATGGAAGCACGCTTTTTCAACGCATTTGAAAAGTCAAGCTTAAAAAGCATGTCATGTTTTAATCTGTAGGCCTTTATGCAAGAGCAGCTGGCTGAACAGGGAGCCCACTTTGAACACGTGAGTGGTGCAGCCGAGACAACCACCATCTTTAGCAAACAAACATCCACTGAACATTGAAAGACAAGAAATGTTATCTTATTAAGCCAAGGTTAAAAGGAAACAAACTATTACTGAAGTGGCCTCGTAAATTTTCAAAGTTATTTGGATTTGTCTCATTTTTTTCAACTTTTCTGAAACATTAAGTTCAATTTTGGCCAGATAGACAGCATACACACAATAATTTCTTATCCAAGTTTTCCTTACCAGAATCTGGAAGTTTATTTATCAGCATGGTGTGCATTGCCATGATGTTTGGCCCTGTGAAGCACTCAACATATCTGAGGACCTAGAGGGAAGAAAACATAAGAAAAAATATTAGAAACATGGAAGACAAGAGGAAAGATTGTTGAGGAAGCACTGGGACGTGGATGGTTGAGGACTAGGGTCAGGAGGAGGAGGTTGGGATGAAGCGATGCAGGACAGGAGGCAGGATCTGGCACGGCACACGAACAGGCGTGGTGGTAGGAGGCCAAGATGGAAGATGGCGCAGCAGGCTGCTGCGTGGGGTTGAAAAGATGGGGAGTATCATACGTCCACAAAGCTATGGCTGTCTATCACAACATGAATATTGGCTACAAAGCTGGACCTGCCCAGAGAGCAGAGAGCCTGGATAACAGACACTTAGAAAATGTTGCTGATCTGTATGTCCTACTAGCCTGGCACAGTTTGGGCTAGTCACATTCCTGACTGGCTCCATGCCACGGGAGCAGAGGAGCACTGCTTTAAGTCTTCTGCCCTGACCACCATCCACCATGCAGACCACCATGTTCATGCAGAACACTCTTAAAAGATGGCTTGATATTCCTTCCTCACATATGTACTTATGGGAGTGACATACAGGGGCTCTAAGGGATAACGGATAAAGCTTTAGCAGAACCAAAAAAGGCTTCTTCGCATAGGCATTAAAACAGAGATACATTGATATAGGCTCTTCCACCACCATCCCCCTTTCTGCTGTTTTTTTAATTTTACCTCTGGCAGAGTACAGTATCTGAACAACTCTTCGTCTTCCTGGAAATCCTGCACTTTATTAACTACTTTTTCAGACTGGCCATACTGGGATCTCAGGGACTCGTCTTTCATAATCATAGCTCCCACGGGATCCACCTCTTTTCTACAGATCCTTACGAACTCCTTCCTGCAAAGCAGAGGGGATGTCCGTGTTGGGAGAGCCTGGCTTCCTCCAGCTTCCCAGAGCTCCCTCGGGATGCTGCTGCACTCCGGCCCCCCCAGCTCCTTAGGCAAGTGCCCCGTACCTGAAGCGCTCAATGTCTTCATCAGAAACGAGCTTCTTAATGAGCAGATACCCGTTGTCTTCATAGAACTGCCTTTGCTCTGTGGTGAGGACATCGTTGTCCAGGGTATAGCTGAGATGCAGAGAAGAAACACGTTAGTAGGGCCGGGCAGTGCAACGGGAGGAGCACTGGCAAGACCTGGCAGGAAGATGGTGACATGTGGGGGATCAGCGGCTGCTGTGGGGAACTGGTGAGAAACCTTCCCCACTTGCATGTCCACCTCAGCTCTGCAGGCACGCAGTGTTCCCCACGCCCCAGGAGAGCTGCCATGGTATGTCCATCTCTGCCCACAGCCACCCGCTACTTCTGTGACAGAATTCAAAGCATCCCCCTTGTGGCCTCCCAAAGTGGAGAAGGGAGCAGGAAAGCTGGATCGGTCTTCAGCAGCTTTACTCTCAGCAGAGATACTGAAGCACACAGGAATAGTCTCTGCAGTCAGGTTATCCGCTCAGACATTTTCAAAATGCATGGTTAAGCTTTTTTACTAACCTATAATTAAACAAGGGAGAATATACCCTTGCAAAATGACAGGCTACACAATGTCTAGTGACGGACACGTGTGCTAGGGCGCAAAAAAGAACTGCATTCCGCAGGTTATGGGGTTTTTTTATCTCTACCAAGGAAGATGCAGCTTACCAAAAACTCTCTGGCTGAGGAACAGCACTAACTTGGGCTGAAGTAGGAACGCTTGTCTAGGATGGAAATTAAGGAATATACACTCAAGTGCAGTGGAGTAGAACACCACCTATACACATACGTCCCGAATCCCACAATGTAGTTCGTCTTAAAGATAAGTGCTGTGCTGGACATTCAATTCATGTTCTTGTTTATTTTGCTTCTAAAAAATCTTTCCCACCTTCAGAGTAGCACATCTGGCAGAGCAGAATAAAGTAACAGCATAGTACAGCCTTGTCCACGCATATAGAAAAGTCAGTACAAAATGCCCAAGACTCCAGAGTAGTCCACGGACCTCAATTCATCTCCCAGAACATCAAGATACTCAATGATATGCTCAGTGGAGATGCTTACTTGCCCAATTTCCCTCCCTATGCTCCAGAGAGCAGCCAGACCTACCTGAAACCTGTGTTGCCTCCTGGAGGTGCTTCTCCATCTCTCCCCTCCTAACATGGGTGCACCAAATTTGGAGCCAGAAGTCATACAAGGTGAATCGAGGACTTCCCACTCCCATGCAGTGGTGCAAACCCTCACCTGCTCTCCAGTTACTGCAGAGATTAGGTCCCTCCCAAACTTGACACGGCGAACACAAAGAGAGGACAGCTATGGGCTTGTCCTCCACCTCAACTCACCTCAACAAGTTTATTTAAACACAGTTGTGTTCTCCTATGCAGAGAGAGGCATTCTCATCCACTGAGCAATTAAACCCCACTTACTAATGAAGCCTCACGAGAGCTTTGTGCATAGTATTGAAGCATCACGTAGGGGCAAGGACCAAAAAAAAGGACATTTTCATGCAGATCTGGGGCTGCAGATGCATATTTGGAGACCCCTGTACTTCATGGTTTTATGTAAACCAAAGACCTTGCTCTACTGCTCGCCACTACCTTTTAAACGTGCCATAAAAGCATGCATGCTTCTGGAATAAGAAGTAGGTTTCATCACAACAGTTGCTCCTATGGTCCCTACACCAGGAAGCTTAAACATTAGCTGGTCAAGAGTCACATACGGTGGGAGAAGAAACATGACACATGGACAGGGGTGTAGCAAAAATTATGAGCCAGAGGGAGGAAAAGGTGCTGAGAAATGGACTGAAGAGAGAGGGAAGAGAACATGGAGAGACCAGGTGGAAACCACCACAGCAGGCCCCAGAGCAAGGGACTGCACAACTGAGCACTACTGCTCCACACACCACATTTCAGGTCCATTTTCAGTGAAAATGGGACTCCTGGCCATTCAGGCTCCTAAATGTCCAGAGACAGCAGATGGAGACACAGGCACTGGTTGAACCCCAGCTTTAGCGTGCTCCTCAGCACACCTCTACCTCCCAGAATGGGAGGACAGTGGACAAGTCTATCAAGTGCTGGACCCCACTTGAACCCCTTCCTCCTGGGCTTTGTAGCACCTCTTTCTCACACTGGTTTTGCTCTTGCCTCCTTGCAACCCTCAAAGAACAAGTTTGGGTTGCTTGGACAACTAAAAACAAGAGGTACACAGGCTGGGAAGGAGCTACCACCTCTGGCAGCTCATTGTAGCGAAGACACAGAGTATTTAAACTCTTCCCTTCCCCTCACACACCCCTTTTGGGAATAATGTATTCACAGGCATCTTAGCCAACGGTGCAGGCAATATAATACTTCTGGAGAGACCAAAGCACAGGCACAGCAAGGTTGAAGATCCCCAGCAGCTCTTCCAAAGCATCTCCCTGCAGAGTCTCAAAGGACAGTACAAACTCCTGCATATCTAAGACAAGCACAGTAAACTTGTGTAGTTCTCTTGGAAACCACCTGACAGACACCGGGTGCTCTGTAGCTCCTGGCCGGGCAGCCACCGCTCTGCCGGCAGCATCAGGGTTTGATGAGAAGCAGCCGAACACCCAAATTGTTCGGGAGGTGCAGTTTCTTTCTGAATCTCTCCTGTTTGCCTGCATTTTGAGGAAACCTTCACTTCTACAGTTGGTGTCCTGTTTTTTTTTCCAGTGTCCCAAACCAGGCAGCACCCAAGCTGAATTCAGAGCTGTGGGAATGAAGGTCTTCTACAGGCACTTGGGAATGTGGCTTCTTCTCCACTGCCTTCCTGTAAGGAGACCAGCGCTGCTGTTACCGATGCAGCACTCCCCTCTGGCTCCTACATCAAGCTCGGAAGAAAAACTTGAGGCATTTCACCTTCTGCTGCTTCCTCTCCTTCCTGAGGCCACAGGAGAGGACTCTGTGAAGGCAAAGGTTTCCCAGTGCTACGCAGAAATAACTCATCTTCCAATACACCGATACAACCAACATACAGCAACCTCTAATAACCCGATCCCTAAAAGCAACTACAGGAGGAAGCTGGGTATGTACAAGACGGTACATTAAACCCTCTATTACGCAGGTTTGATTTTAAGTAGAGAAGACCAGGATGCTCCCTTCTCCAGCCCAGGAAGGTCGGAGCGCAGGGCCCACGGAGCGGGGGGGGCGGGTGTGCACATCTGCACCCCGCAGGGCACTGCCGAGACCCCGCGGGCTTCGGGCGGTTTTCACATGTTGTGTCTCTGGTGGTGGCTGCTACAGCCACCAAGACATTTCTCCTTTCGTAAAAGGAGGGGCATTTTCTGGACGGAAAAGTGACTGTCCTACCCAAATCACCAAAGCCAGAGATTAAACCAAAACCAGTGCACTGATGTAACATACATCAGACAAATCTATTCTGATTAGATTGTGTCATTTACTTTATCCACACACCTTTCTTGCTCCAGTCCAGCTTGGTCATATTTTTGTCTAAAGCTCTTTGCATCAGGACCATTGTAGCTGAAAAACAAAACAGCCTGTACAGTGCTTCTCCTTCCTTACTGTCTCTTTACAACCAGGGTGCTTTTCCTAGCATTTATTTCCAATTTTGTGTTCCTACTTGCACCTGTGTCTTATGGCAGCCTGAGTCGACTACTATCCATCTGGCTTCATAGTTTTAATATATTTGAAGACTCCTACATCCTGTTTGATCACACCCTCTTCACCAATTTATTATAATTCAGAGGTAACTTGTGAGCATTCAGCTCTTACCAAAAATCAGCGGCATTTAAAAAAAAAACCAAAAAACCAAAGGGTTTTGAAAGGCAACATTTAGGGCGGCTACTTTAAACATTCTATCAGCAAGCAGTCTTCATTTAACTTTCGGAAGCATGGGACAGACTACCTTGAAAGCTGCTTTCTGCCCCGTTTTCCTTTCTCTGACCTGTCGTGAAGCTGGCAGCCTCCAGCATTTCCCCACGCACAAACCAAACCCCGATGCTTGTCCCGATGCTGCTCTACCAGTCAAGCCTGTACCTCTCAACAACATCTGAGGCACTGTGCAATTGCTAAGCCTTAATTGCTAAGTTTATCTCCCCCAAAACCCAGGAATCTCTGGGAGGAAAACTGGCTGCAGGTAACTCCCCGCTCGGTGCCGGGGGGCTGCCGAGGAGCTGGCCCACCAGACCCACACCCCCACGCCTGCAGGTCGCAGGACTGAAGCTCAGGGAGAAAGCACCAGGCAGCAGGGTTTGCCAAGGGGAGGGCCTGCCGGCGGCTGGGACGTGCGTGGGGGAAGCTCAGCGCACGCTCTGCGCGTCCCCTTGTTCTCCCCGTTCCCCGCCAGCAGTTGCGGGGCTGCAAGGGTTTCATCAGGCCTGTGCAGGGCGCGGCGCGCTCGGGCACCGACCGCGGCCGAGGCCGGCTCGGGTATTCTCTTTATGGATCTCCCATCCCTAAGGAGACTGCCAGAGCTTGCCTCATCCCCCCGTGAATCAGCCCGGAGAGATTTTTACGGCCCCGCTGTCACCCCGGCGTGGTGGCGGAACGTGTTTCCCAAGTACCTCATTGGCACTGGTAGAGCTCTGGGATGTCGGCAGACTGCATCAAATCCGCACCGGAGGCTGGGTGGCCTTTCTGTCCAGCCTTCTGGGAGAGCTCTGGTGCTTTTGAGTAAGAAAAGAGGGAAAGGAGCAAAAAGAGTCACAGTGCAGCACCTGGGGATGTGGGAGGGGACGGAAAAAAAAAAGCCCAGAGGGGAAAACCTGGGGTAGGGAGAGGGGAAGAAGTGTAAAAAATGGGCAGCTGCAAATAGAGGTTGCAAAAAAAAAAAAAAAAGCTGTAGAGGCTTG